TGTGAGCTACAAAATAAAGAAATTCGAGTTCAAAATCAAATCGTTCGATTTTTGTGGCAGACGTTCGACACGCGTCTTTCATGCATCTCACGAGATCTCGCAGTTGAACAGAAAATCACCTATTGAAACAGCAGGTCTACCTTTTAGGGTGAACTTGAACTTAAGTTAATTTCATGGTGACAACTGAGCAATTTTTATCTCCAGCGACACAAAACTCATCAAGCAGATTTGAGAAATAAATTGTAAATATACACACAGTTCATTATAAATGAAGTGGGAAAAGTCACTGTTTGTCCCAAGCCATCAATGGAACAAAACCCCCAGCTTCTAAAAGACGATAAGGATTTCAATATTTGAACATTTGTGTATCACTACCAGGGATGGTTGTCTTGGCAACAATTTATCTTGATCTGCTCACTATCCCCCTGAGGCATGAGTCAAGTCAATGGTTTCCATGGCAATGATTGTCACATCAGCTGCCGATATGTAATTGGTTGTCAGTTATTATGTTCTAGGACTGTAGCACAGAAGAGAAACTAAAGTATTGCCCTAGATTATCCCACAAAACAGCACTTCTACTTAGAGCAGAATCAAATTGTCCTGATGTCCAAGGAGTTTACCTTGATGCTTTTGAAACACAGGTTTTCCTCATACAGGTTTTCCTTTCCTCTAAGGCAACTTTAGCAAATTTTGCATTAGAAAGTGGAAGAAAATAACCTAAAGAGTCAACACTTGTCATCTTTTACAAAATACATATAAACTTGCATGATATTTTCTGTATTTCCTCATCAAGCTCCGTTTTTTTTTATCCAAAATTAACAGAAATTATAGACAAGCGGTCTGTGGGCTGATACAGCTCTACTGTTTCAAATGCAAAAATAAGAAAAGAATCAAATCAAATGTCTAGCCATTCTCAAAATAAGAAGAAATACAAGAAAACAAGAAAACTGAACTAAAATAATAATGTGATACAGGAATGAATCAAATCAATCTGACAGAGAACCATCCAAAGTACCCAATACAAAACATACGTGATTGTGGTTTTCAAAAATGCATCAGAAATAATATAAAAACCCATAAAGTTGGTTTCCAAAAAAAAAAATGTAAAGTTGAGTCTGGTGGACGTTGACAGTTAGTAATATTAATAGCTCCACTCAAATTTGTTGACAGCCAAGCAAAAATAAACATGTGTTACTACTTTACCACACTGAAAATAAGAATGCAATTCGCCTTAATAACAAATAGACCATTAAAATGGTGTTTAAAATAAAACAGCTGATCCTGTCTCTGCTTTTGTGTGTGTGGATTTACAGAATTCATAATTAATAACATTATCAGCAGTCAAGCTGGTAGTTCCAAAAAATCAAGTCAAATGAGCAGCAGTTCGAATGATTGTTTTCAAGAAGAAATGTCGTTTATATAAAGTTGTTGCTAGACATCAGTGAACAGGCAGAGCAAAGCATCTATTACTGTCAATTGGGAAACGTGAAGTCAGAATTCCGCAAACATGTGCAAAAATAATAATAATGTGTTTTTATATATTCATTGTTAATACTTTTAACACTCAAGGATTATTTACGAGTCGTACTAACCCCTTTGAATACCAAATCAACTTCTGGAAATTATTTCCAAAATTTTAATTAAAATCTGTAAGCCAAAAGCCTATAAAAAAACCATTTCATTTCATTTCATTTTACTTAAATTTTACTGATCAGTTAGACTTATCACAGTGACTTCATGACAAAATGTCCTCAATAATTAAGTATGATTATACAGGTTGAAAATTCAAAATGGTGGATGGTGAAATGATGGCAGTAAACTAAGGTGGCATAGTTAAACCACATGTCATGTAATTATCCATCTCTACTTCTCATCATTAATCTCTACATAACAAGTAAAAACTTGGTTCAACTACAAATTAACCATATACAATATCAAATGAAAAAAAAATTAATAACAAGTATTAATTAGTAATGTTGTATAAAATCCATAATTTTACAAGCAGACTGCTTTTATGATTTTAAATATTACATGATCACACATAACTTTTCGTAATTGTGCCAGCATATCGTAAATTATTTATGTTCAATTCAATTTAATATACTGTTTCTTTGTTACATCAGATGAGGATTGTAACCAAAATAATAAATGTTTGAATTACAAATTAATCATGAACGGAAACTGGTGCACAGATGTGTGGAGCATCACGACAGAATTGTAGATGCTGTGAAACTGGACTGTTGTCATTACTGTGTGACCGATGTTTGAACTTGACTGCTGGCAGTCTGTGTTTGTGTATTTGACCATGACTGATGCATCACTAGTTTTCCCACACACTATCTTTTAGCACACACCTGTAATAGGGTTGTTAGGTTAAGTGCTTTATATGCGTTAAAAGATTTGAAAATACACTTCTAATTCTAATGGGTGCTCCCGTGTGGCAAACTGTTTCTTTCACAACTGAACCGCATTAATTATGTTTCAATTCACCAAGTTGTTAATTCAACAGTAAATTAGCTGTTTTAAAATACGTATTTGCAAACACAGTCTATGCTTAAACATTTTAACATCTATCACAATCAATTTTAATCCTAAATATACTATTTTTTGGCAAAACTTCTCATAAAGAAAATTACAATATTTTTAAACTATGATCTTGGTGGATTTCGTATAACTGAATTTCCATTTATACCATCAAATGATGATTTCATGTCTAAAAATTGTTTTGATTATAATTAATAGCTCATATATGATTGATTATATTATAAGTAATATATTAATGAAACAGAAAAAAAAAAAAAAAAAACTTTTAAAGCGTGGTAGTCGTATATATATATATATATATGGGTCTCATATAAACAAAGATGGCGATTTTGACTGTTGCGCAGATCAACGAGTACAAACTGAGACGTTTCCAAGCTTTAATTAAGTAATTTTCATGTTATTGAAGGAGTCACCGGCGGTAATCAGTGCAAGTCGTGCCCAGGTCAAACCTCATACTTGTGATTTCCATTTGAAGAGCGCATTGGATTGTGGGAAAATCAATGTTTATCAACACAAATGACTACCTCGCTTTAACCAAATTATCCAAAATATTTCAAATATACTTTACACATATTTTAACTGATGAATATTTTGTTCTAATCATCAGAACCTCAAATAACAGGTTTGATGTGTTCATTTGTGAGAAAATAATTCTCACAAATTTCAGGGATAATCACAAAATTTTGCTCAATGAATATTTCACTGGTGATCTTCACATTGTCATTGTGATCTACATGAAATTTAATCCAGCTGCTTTCACCAGCAGCCAAATTTACTGCACATTACCTGTCGCCAAATATTTTTTGAATACCACATTGTAACAAATTTTTTGTGAATGAGTGAAAATCATGAAATTTACAGAATATAATTTGAACAAGACTAAACATGCCATTTAAAAATCATGTTACAATAAACTGTTCATTTTATTGTAAGGGTAAATTGAAATTTCCGAAAGAGAGTTTAATTCCTTATTTGAACACAAACATCATTGTGTTCCATTTATTATAAATTATTTCCAATCGTAATTTCACTATTTTGAATATAATTTTTTTTTATATTTATATTTTTACTGTGTTTTAAATTCATATATTTTAAGTTAAACAAATTCTATTGTAATTTCACATGTTCACATTAATTTTAGCACATTTCACTTAGCAACAAAAATAACATAATTTTAACCACCGAATAATGTATTTATATATGAATGCTCCAAAACGATTATCCGCCTATCTTCAAGTAATCAATAAAAAAAATATCTATGTCATCAATTCATGAATGCTAAAATTGCAAACAAATACAAGAAAAAAAAAACATTTTTTTTCACATAATAATCTGCCATGAAAGCTAAACAGACATGACGCTAAGATCAAACAACTGCAAGAATTAACTAATTTCTATCCACATCACATTATACATGCTAAGCCAGATGTTGCACGGTGTGAAAGACATCGTTATTTAAAATTAAAATAATTACATCCGTTAGATAAAGATAATGAATATTCATGAATTTTTTTTTATTTATATTTAATGTCATATATAAGAAAATATTGACACATTACATTTTGTTAAATATAATTTATGTCCTGATCAATATGGTATTACAAATCTTTTTTTTTTTTTTTTACATCAATACTAATACTTTGAATCCTTCAACACAGTGACGAACATGTCAACTATTGAGAGTTGTATGTAGAATTCATCGCTATGTCCTAATTTATCAACAACATATTGGATACAGAAAGATTACTCATTGTGTGGTGACAGGTTGACATTATAAATATTAATCATACATACATGTGAGTGAATTTGATAAATACATATATACTGGATGAAATAACTAATAATTTCCGGTGACCTCTCGGTGAATTTAAATAAATTACTTAATATAGCATTATTTGAATGTCTGTATTATATTAAGCACTTATGTGTGTTTTTGTTACTGTATAATCGTAATTATACGTGTTTTATATGCCGTATCCTACTAGCTCTCCTACTTGACACTGACAGGGTGTCAATTGCGATTGATTTTAATTGGAGTTCACATTGCTCAGTTTCTATAACGTTCTCTGCAACGTTACCATGTGTCGATACTGCGGTACATATCCTACACGTCTGTGGAGTCAGACGCTGAATGTTGATTTGTAGATCGGCACAGGTGTGCGGACATCACAGTGCATGATTAAATCATTTGGACGTTTATATTCCCAGCAGGCGAACACTGCCCACTCACTTTGACGACGAAACTTCCGCACACACCATAACAATATCTATATCAGAAAAAGATAATTACAAGACTGATCCTCACATTCACAGCATCGGTAATATTGAATTTTACAAGCTATTTCAATAAATTGTAAGCATTGATCCATCACCCAGATTGATAAATTTTAAATTGAAAAGCCGGGGGGGGGGGGGGGGGGTCTTAATTTCATACTCGACAGGTGATCATAAATTTTGCACAAATTCCATTACAAATATATAATATTTTCATCATGTCTTTGGATCTTATGTTATTCCAATTCATACAGTTTTTGAATATTTACAAGACTATTATATTCAATTCTCGATGCACGAACCATTTTCTATTTGGTAACTTGATAGTATTATTGAGGACAATATTTCCTGAAAGTAACACAGCAGAATTAGTCCCTCATCAAATAAGGCCAAAGAAAATGTTTTACCTCTCATCCTAGAATAGATTGCAAAATGATTTAATTTAATTGATTATTTAATACAAAAATTTATACATTTAACATGACGAAAAGCAAAACCTTCTCTTTTTTTGCCTAAAAGCATTAACAGTATTATTAATAACAATATTGACTTTATAGAAAGATTACGTTGAAAAATGACATACACATGACAACATCCGAAGTCGTGCCAGATATTAAATAGGTTTTTTAAAATAAAGTGAAAGCACTGTCAGAATATTGAGTAATACTATAATTCAACATTTTCTAACTTTCTAACCAATTATTTTGATATATATGTCAGAGCCCCATGCCCTGAAAAAATGACATTTTTCAATTTTTCATTTCACTCATAAGTCAGACTTCTTTTACATGGCTTTGTGATGAATTAGACATTTATTCTCATCACTGTCCAGAATTAACTTTCCATCAGACAGAATTAATATTGCACACCTAGGTCTTTATTAGAACATAAAGAAAAAG